TCATAATCTACGGTGAACCAGATAGTGAATGATTCACATGCATGAACAAATTACTCGTATATCATCTAAACAACATCCACTAAAATCCAATAATTCAATCTGAAACATCTTAATGCTGATATCAACACAACATTTTGAACTTATTATTTAATCAACACTCATGTAAGCACACTGAAGCGATGTTTTCTGTTTTGTTGTGCAAAGAAATACCAGAGGCGCCCATGATCACGCTGAGTTTAGTAAGGTGCGCTGGATTGTGAGCTCAATCTTGGGCTCGCTCTTTTGAGAATTGACTACATGTCGATCTTCTGTACATGTGTTTTTCTCTACTGCCTTTCTGTGCAAATAATGAGGTCATACTGATACCACAAGACTGCAAAGCTGAGACCATGATGATGCCACAAATAAGTGAGGCTAACACCGCTTCAATTTTCAATGACGCAAAGCTGATGCCACAATGATGCCATGCTTGGGAACAATGATTCCACAAACTCCAAAGCTTGCGCAATAACTGTACTGTACACAAAGAGTGACAATTGAATTTCCACTCACACATTGAAAAATGTCTTTGGCAAAAACAACGGCAATTGCATTTCTGTACATACATGTATAGCGATAAACCTTAATGCATCCTCTTGTTTTCCAGAAAGCAGATCTTCTAGGTTATGAAACACATGCAAAGTATATTCTTGAGTTACGTATGGCGAAGAAACCTGAAGCTGTTGATAAATTTCTCAAGGAATTATCAGAAAAACTGCGGCCTTTACAAAAGTCAGAATTGAATGTCATGCTAGAGTATAAAAAAGAAGAGGTAAGAATTTCACATGTAGTAGAATGTGATCATCGGATCTCAAAAATATATTTGGGAATAAAAAGACAAAGTTTATCGTGCCTATCATATTTGAGGCATCCAGGAGTGTTATGAGTACATTGTGTGAAATGCATTAACTACAGTCAGCACTGTTGCAGCGGCTATTGCTGTGATTTTATACATAACTACAGAAAAATGACCAAATCTTAACAAAATATTGTACACAAAACTAATATCATATGATTACTATGTGAAAATTAAGGGTCAAGTAGTCGCCATTTTGTCGAAGTCCTTCACAAGTTGTAGAAAATAATGCAACATTGTAAGTTGTCATCTTGTACTGATTTCAATATATTGCGCCCTCTAGAAAGCAGAACACAAACCCACAGTCATCTCTTTTACACAAACCCACAGCCATCTCTTTTACACAAACCCACAGCCATCTCTTTTACACAAACCCACAGCCATCTCTTTTACACAAACCCACAGCCATCTCTTTTACACAAACCCACAGCCATCTCTTTTACACAAACCCACAGCCATCTCTTTTACACAAACCCACAGCCATCTCTTTTACACAAACCCACAGCCATCTTTTACACAAACCCACAGCCATCTTTTACACAAACCCACAGCCGTCTCTTTTACACAAACCCACAGCCGTCTCTTTTACACAAACCCACAGCCGTCTCTTTTACACAAACCCACAGCCATCTCTTTTACACAAACCCACAGCCATCTCTTTTACACAAACCCACAGCCATCTCTTTTACACAAACCCACAGCCATCTCTTTTACACAAACCCACAGCCATCTCTTTTACACAAACCCACAGCCATCTCTTTTACACAAACCCACAGCCATCTCTTTTACCCAAACCCACAGCCATCTCTTTTACCCAAACCCACAGCCATCTCTTTTACCCAAACCCACAGCCGTCTCTTTTACACAAACCCACAGCCGTCTCTTTTACACAAACCCACAGCCATCTCTTTTACACAAAGCCACAGTCATCTCTTTTCACTTGCAAGTGATTTAAAGTACAACATTGGTATATAGTATATTTGCTATGTGCCCACATTTTGGCATGGCCATTATAAATTGGCACTAATGACCCAGGGAATGTTTAAGAATAAACAAAGAGTCAATGTTATAGCTGTTGTCACTTTAACACTGGTATACAATTTGGATTTAACTGAAATCCCTTCCCATTCTCATCTATTATTCCACACCCTATTATTTTAACTGGCGGCACTCATTCCCGCCACCATTTTTTGATAACCACTCATCGTTTTTGATATACTGTAATGCACTTGTACTATATATACCAAATACAAAAGATTTCAGTCACAAATATTGACTGAAGTGTCTTCTTTAATTGTCACATAGTGTGAGAAGTATGGTTTAGAGTACGATGGTAAGATAAATCTCTGGGACATGAGATATTACATGACAATGGTAGAAGAAAAGAAGTATACTGTAGATCAGAATAAACTCAAAGAGTACTTCCCCATGGAAGTTGTAACAAAAGGATTATTAGAAATATACCAGGTAAGTACTTTTCAATTGGAGGGAGTAACAAAAAGATCATTAATAATATACCAGCTAAGACTAAAGGGGTTGAGTGAACTGTTTCAGATTCAATGGTGTTGATGTTGTTCAGTTTGAGGGCTCTAGTAATACATTTATTGAAATTAGTTTAAGTTATAGTGTCATTTCTTGAATTCTCATCAATATAATATGATTATTTCAGATCACATTCCTCCTAGGAATATAAATTAAAGATACATGTATGATGTTACACTGTTACCCAATGTACACTTCAATGTACACTTCAATGTACTAGCACTGTCAGGTCAATTTAATAATTATTAGTAACATTATAATATCTTCAGTAGGCAGATTTAGCCCTTTACATTTAAACTATTAGAAGACATGTCACAGTAACTTTTTCAAGATTCCCTACTCTCAAATAGTGAATTCTCAAATACTTTACATCATAGTCTGTTCTGCATTATAAAATTTCAACATTTATATTTTCCAGGAACTTCTGGGATTGAGTTTTGTTGAAATTAAAAATCCACCAGTTTGGGCTGAAGAGGTTAAAATGGTAAGTTGATAACTTTGTTGATTCTTTGTATTGGAAGAACTCTATCTACATTTCAAACTAGGTGAACCTATTGTAGCTATGATCTTAATTTGTTTATACCTATCACACATTCTGAATAACATGTGGTATTTGTGAACAAAGGCAGTGTTATAATTAGTCCCCGTTCGGACGAAGTCCGAAAACGGGGACTTATAATTCGGTCTCCGTTCGTCCGTCCGTCCGGAGTCATATCTCAGAATCCCTTGGACCGATTCCGTTCATTCTTTGCATGTGCCTAGTACTTTATGTGGGACATATGCACATGCAGTGGTTTAGCGATTTGATTTAAAATGGCCGACTGGCAGCCATCTTGTTTTTTGAAAATGTTGTATTTTGGACATGCTTTGCCAGTTTTCATTCAAACTTGGTACATAGATTATACATGTTAGGATACATGTCCATGATGATTTATTTCACAATTGGATCAAAGATGGCCGACTGGCAGCCATCTTGTTTTTTGAAAATGTCGTATTTTGGACATGCTTTGTCAGTTTTCATACAAATTTAGTACATAGATCATACATGTTAGGATACATGTCCCCGACCGTCTGTGAGTTCCTGAGTCTGTCCGTCCGACCGCCTGTCTGTGCGTCAGTCTATCCAACGTCATATTTCAGAATCCTGTGGACCGATTCCGTTCATTCTTTGCATGTG